CTCTGTAAAAAGACACTCAAAGATGTTCCCTACTGCATGCATGTTAATTAAAAAAATGTTTCTAGATGCTCATTAAATGGCTACAGGAGGAAAACAAAGGTGAATACTGAATCAGTGCTCTTATGGCACGTGTGTTTGTTTGTTTGCATATCCTTACTAAACATGAATGAAAAAGGGACAGCATCTGGTAATTTCTAAGTGAATCAAAATAATGCCTTCATGGGCACAAGCAGGGATTTTCTATAATAATTTACTTTACTGATGTATTCATACTACATGTAGTTTGTTCAGGAAGGACAAGTAAAGAAAAGTCTCTTGGTGAGATATTTATCAAAGATATTATCTTTTTTTTCTGATCCCCAGTGTATTATAAGAGAGAGACATGCAGAAAGCCTCTGGATGCTAACAGAATTGGACATGAAAATGGACACTGTCCTGGTGGGGGGCCTAAAACAGACGATCACATTAGGGAGATGGGGTGGTGAAGTTTACTAGCCTAGAAAACTTTTGGAAGTGAAACACGGCAGGGCACGGGATGCTCAAAATGCAGGAAGCATTCATATTTACATTTGTATTCTCTACTTGTGTTTGTATGAGAACACGGACATCTAGTACACATAAAAGACCTCAGAGCAAGCTTACTGCTTTTTCATATTACAGCAAAAAAAAGCATTTCTGCATCTGACAACAGAGATGATCTTGGCCTGTAACAAATCCTCAAACATGGTTTGTATCACTGAACTGAATCTACTTCTGAGGAAGTAGCAACCGTTAAGAGGCAGTTAATATTACGAGAAATTAACCCCAGACTTAAAAAAAAATCACTTAAAAAGTAAAAAATCCAAATAATAATTTAAAAATTTGAATTAATTTTCAACCAATTGGTATTTTCAAGTGTGAGCCCCAGGAGTGTCTATCTGAATACAGATGGGAATGAAGGGTATTCCAGGGCAAGAGGAGACGCTAACACTGACATGAAATTAGAGAGTAGTTACTGCAGAATTTATTCCATTCTGCCACACAGAGAGTGAGTCCCTGCTCAGAATTACAATGATTCTTTGAGAGAAAGACTGACAGTGAATTATCATTCCCAGGAGCTTCTGTAATTTCCAAGCAACTCAGCATTACACAGACTTGCACATCTATCATGCCTCAACTTCAGCAGCATTACAGCATCAGTGTAAGGTGTAAAACTGACAGAACAGGGAAAGATTTAATTGCTGCCAAGGTCATCAGTGCCATCAGGAATACTAACTTCTGAATCCAAATAAGTGCTCTGAAAACCGAACCTTCGGAATTTTCAGCAGAAAGGCCAATTCTGTGATCAGTAATAGTACATGGAGATCCCCACTGACCTATGTAACACCCTGACAAAACTCTGAGCCAAACAGGTACTTCTAAATATCCCAATATTCAATAATCTTACGAAGAAAGTCAGAAGACAATCTGTGTATATACGAATAGCATCAGCATCAGCAGTTGGTGAAACAATCTGCCTTATGTGCTCCAAGCCCTATGTTTTATTCAGGCATTAACACCTCCTTCGTGAATGTGAAGATGTCAGATGTGAGCTACCACATGCAATATCATTCTCACGGGACACACAGTAACTTAACATGGAGACTGACATTGCACCATGCAGAATTCTAGTTGTACATAACAGCTACTATAAGATTTACAAAAATCCAGGTCTAGAAAAGATGTCAGCTTGATTCTAGACAGCATCTACACATGGCTGAAGCCCACTGAAATGCTCTACTATGCACTGAAGAGTTTATCTGAAAGAGCTCAAAGGAGAAGAAAAGTGTAGCAGTAAATGTCAGACCTTCCTTTTCAGAACTCTCATTGGCCATTCCTTCCTGGTCAAAATGTCCTACTGGCAAGCTATTTTGTATGGAATAAAAAAAGATGCATCTTCAGACCAGACTTCTAAGTCCACATTCTCTTATTCTGTCTCAAAGATTTATTTTAAGTTTCCGCTGTTGACACAGACAAATCACTATTAGCTAAATGAAAGTTACTGCTACACTAATATTTATTAGTGGATTCTGACAGCTCCTGAATGAAGCTCTGAATTTAGGTAACCTCTCTAGATTTCTGTACAACTACTATAATGACTTAAAAGGATTGGATACCTCTCCTGCATATGCTCTGATGTCATTCCTTCTGTTCAGCCTGAAGCCAGTAGTGTCTCTCTCCATATGGGAGAGAGAGCTGAGATAATACTCCTTGATGGCCTGCACAGAAGCTTGACTTCTCCCTTCTGTGCTGCCTGACCTCCTCCTATCCAGCTGCTTCAGAGCATTCAAAATGCCTTACTCTGCGGTTGCACCAGTGAGAATGTAGGGCAGAAAGGAGGGGAAGAAAAAAAACACAACATTTTTCCATCATTCTCATATTTCCTTTGGAGTGAGTAGAACTGTGGAGTGATGGATGGATCACATGAGGTGTCGTAAGTGGTTATGTGATGCCACTAGAGGTTCTTATCTTAGGTCTGAGTTGCTTCTAACTGTGCAGAAGCAATTGAATTGCCCATTCCTGCCATTCTCCAAAGATATTCTGACTTAACCCAAGCAGGGGGTATGAAGTTGGCAGCATACTGTTTGCAATGTAAGTGATGTATGACAAGAATAGAGGTAAACACTTCTGTTCTTTTAAATGTCCACTGAGTTGTTTCAAGGCAGATCAGACCTATTCCTATGCTTCTGCTTTTCAAGAAAGGAAGTCAGAACATTCCTGAGGAAGAGAAATCAGTATTCTCACGACACCTAAACACAAACAACAACAAAAATTCCAGTTCTTTAGTGAACAATTGCCAATTTAATGCCGCCGTCTCAAGTAAGTCACTCTTCTGAATACTGGCAAGGTGCCGACACATTCATTATAGCTCTACTTTCTTTTGTCACAACTACTTTGTTCAGGAAACCTGCCCTTTTAGGTACCTTGCCTGTATCCAAGAGGAAAACACATTCATGTAGCCAGGGCCCCACCTAGCAGCTCTAATCTTTGACCTTACCACAGTGAGAGAACTAAGCAATATTTACAATCAGCTGCATTCTTTTTGAAGTGTTTGAAAGTATCTTTTTCTCAATAGTAAAAACATTAAAATGAATAATAAATATATAATGATATATATAGAGATACATGAAAAGTATGTTAGTGTCCACCTGGGCAGAAACATGTAATCCACAGAAAAAAAGAAGCCTGAGAAGTTATAGCCACATGCTATCAATTAGTCATATTTACTTAGCATTTGCATTTCAACAGAATTGAGACGTTAATATCTATTTTGTAAGACCCAGATCAAACATACACAGCTGGTTCTTTTTTTCTTACTCTCCCATACGTGTCCCTGGAAGTATACCTAGTAAGTATTTAGAAAACAAACAACCTTTCCTATGCATTCTGATAAAACATCCTCTGGGAAAGCACAAGGAATTGCCTCACTCATGTTGGCCAGGGAGAAGAGGAGCAATCACAGCAAATGTGTTCCTTTTCCTCTACTGAAGGTGCATCTCTAACACTGGTATTGGTACCACACTGACTGGAGGAGTACTCCCAAAACCTGAGCCTTTGTTGCCACTAGGAAGGACTATGAATCACAAAACAACTGTTAAGGCTTTGTATGGGACAGCGAAAAGCTAAGCAGGGATGTTCCCTGGCAGAGAGGATCTGCAGTGCTATCCAGAAGGCTCCATTTACTCCTGCACATCTGTGAGTTGAGCCAGGGGACTGAAAAACAAATTATACCTGCTTGGCATGGAACCAGAACCCTCTGCACCCAGGTACCTGCAGCAGAACAGTAGGTTCCGTTACCAAACACAATCCTGTCAGAGAAGATATGGTAGTTCTCTCCTCACAGGGAAGCAATGTATACCGAAGCATTCCAGAAACTTCAGTAGAAGGAGAATTATTAAATATAAATACAAACCAAACAGGATTCACCGATTCAGTGACAAAGGCTTGTGGTTTATAGCCATTTCCTAGTGAGGGAAAACTCAAGACCTCCTGCCATGACTGTAGATGACAGCAGACATCCTTGAAATACTACTACATTGTGTTAGCATGTTCTCATCATTAGTCCTCCTATATAGGACTTTCACCTTTCTCCCGAGCTTTGATTGCCTCTCCCCAGTTGTCCTGTTCCCTTCCTCATCCCTTAAAAACTCACTCTCTCACCTCTAAATTTTTGCCTTAGGCTCTACTAATTTCACTTTACTGATTTCTCCTTTCCCTCCCCCCTCTGCCCCTCAAATTTTCTTTCCTGCTCTCATGCCCCAATTAATCATTTCTCTCACTATCCCAACTCTGGTGTTCCAGATGACAAATATTAAATTTATCTGTTTGGTAAGCTTAATCTTGAGATGTGCCCAGAATTCCTACCTTCAACACCCTTCCCCTTTCTCATCCACGACATGTAGATGCTCTCAATTCATACCCCTGTAATATCCCCTCACATCAATCTTCTTTACCTCTTCGGAGAGACATTTAATAGTGCCTGTTTCTCTGATATGTGAGTACTGCAGCTACTGTGAGCAGAGAACAGAGGATATTCTGATGATCCAAAGGGCTGTAGAGAGAGAGCTTGTATAATCATGCTGTGACACACAGCCCCTGACCACTGCACTGAGGTGGGGCAAAAGCAGCAATAAATAAAGCAGGCAGGCAGACAATGGGGTGGGGTATGATTTGAAGAAGCCACAGATTGCTTTCCCGGTACAAAAAGAATGTAATGGCCAGTGGCAGCATATGTTATGCAGCTAGCAGATAATAATCAGGGCTGAAATTGCTCAAAGATTTCAGAGGAACCATCAGGCAGTAAATTGTGGACACTCCTGACTCAAAGTTTTGACATGTAAAATGAAAACAACATTAGCATTACTAGATAAAAAGGGGAATGTTTCACTCACTTTCACTATAGTCTCATATTCCATTTCTACTTCTGTTTTTCCTCTACTTCTTGTTCTTCTATGCTCTTTAAAACAAAACCAAGGATCATTTCAATTTGATATGATTAACAATTACTCTAAGCTGAAATGACATAATTTTGTTCATTACAGTAAAATAACAGCTCTTTAATCTACGTATTTAATGAAAAACATAAGATTACTTCATGCTTCTGTGTGTGGGCTCATTAATATTTGACTAGGTAGTAGGAATGTGTTAGTCAGAGAAATCACTCTATTTATCACAACCTGTCACTCCATACTGGCAGAAGATAATATTTCAGCGGTGTTACGTGGGAGATTTGCTAAGTTGCAGATCAGGCACATCATGGGAAATGACAGCTTTTTTTTTTTTTTTGGAGAGGGGATAAGAATATCTGAATTAAAAAAAACACAAGCATCACCTATGCTACTTGAAGGCTGTGCTTGAAGAAATACCTCCAGACATTGCAGCAGGAGGGCGTCACACTGCAGTCATGGCCAATGCCATGGACTCTGTGAAGTTTGTGAAGTTTGCATGGAAAACCTTCAGTGACAAATGCAAGTGCTTATGAGAGTGCTGCAGACTTTCACCAGTCAGCTGATTCCCTTTGACTCAGCCCTGCCGCAGTGCCTGAGCATGATGAGATGTGGGACCCGTTGCTGCTGGACACAACACTGCTGTGCCTGTGTTCAGATTCAGCATTTCTCTCTGAAACTTCTGTTTTGACAGTTTCAAAGAGAGGCAGGATTTTCAGGCTGTCCCTGAAGAAGATCTCATACTTAGAAGACCCCAAAATGCTGCAGGCAGCTGCATGCTACTCAGAGCTGACCCACTGGGATGGCTGTGGCTCATCACATACACTCTACACACCCTGAGCTTCAACTCTCTTGAAGAGCTCTAAGGTGTGGATTAGGGAAGTCCTGAAGGTATTCCAACATCAAACAAAAAGACCCACGGTTTTTAGCTTGCAGTTATAGTTACTAGAAGATGGCTACAAAACTATAGCCCTGAACTTAGAATGAGGGTGACTTTTTGGTTCTTGCTAAGTGTAGCCTTCAAACAAAATTAACTGTGCCATTTTCCTCTGGCTGCAGTATGCTTTATTCTCTGTTGTGTTAAATAATGTGGTCGCTGTCTCCTTTTACTCTATAATAAGCATGATTTCAGTGTTAAGTGATTTACTGCTTCATAGCTATAGCAACTGAGTGAGTCTATTGCTAACTTGGTTCTGTTTGTAGAGTTAAATCATGGCTCTTATGATACACTTAGTGCGACTAAAATCTTGACATTTTGCACCTCGTGTACTTTAAACCCTAACATGTATTCAAAGTAATACCACATATACCTATTGTATATCCAAGAGCCAGAGCTGTAATGGCATTAAATGTGATACGGTGATACTAGGTGAGAATCAGCCCTGGAACAATCGCATGCAAGTTCACTGAGGTCAACTTTATTTTGCCTTAGCTGTTGGCTATCATGTTTGCTACAAATGAAATTGCAAATTGAAACCTTTAAATAGAAACAAACAATAGCACAAAATAAAATTATCTGTTTCAATATTGAACATTAAAATAGCTTAATAACAAAAATAATACGTTTTCAATGTGCCACAAAGCATTTCCTCTCAAAGCAATTTTTAAAAACTGAATGTAATTATGGAGCCACTTCCTTGGTAATGGGTAAAGAAGCAAAACAATACATTTGAGCACCATGTCCCCTTTCTATATTCATGCAGATTTGTAAATGCCTTATAACTGAGTCACAATAGCAGGCAAAAGAAAAGAAGTTAGTTAACAGTGTGGCTGGATTTGGTTGAAATTCTTAATAAAGGAACTTCTGCCACTGTGTTATACTCTGTTGAAACAACTGAAAGACACCTTTATTTATTTTCTCCTTGAACTCTTTCTCACCTTGGTACCAGTGGACTTTAAAGCTGCATTAGCACTGACACAAATGGTGTTAAAAGATACACTTTGGGTATAAGATGTTCAGGCAATGGGTGCCAGTGATTGTGGTAGCTTGCACCATTTTGACATGCAAAATGAATCTAAAGTATTAGCTGAGGAAGCAGAAAGTGACTGTAGCAGAAAAAAACGTAGCAGCAAGAAGGTGAAATGTAAAGTGTAAAAAGAAAGCCACTTTTTTTCCTATAGTTCCTGATCAGTTCTCCTGATGCACTTTACTTTTATGTTCCTTTGATCTCTACACTTCAGTGGTTTTGTGCTCCCACTGACAGACAAATCAGAGAAGGCGTTACTTAAAACTGGCAGTTTTTACAAAATGACATACATGTTTGCAGCACACAAACATTCTCTTACTCTGGATGTTAGTCTAGTTATTTCAGTGAAGCTCATAACTGTTCAAGCCTCGTTGAGGTTTGACTAGAAATTCCCTTTAAACCAATCTTGGAAAACACTAATGAGAATCCTCTTGCTAAACTCCTTTGTTTGTGCAGTATTACTGCTTTTTGTTACTTTTGGCACCAGTCTTATCAAGCCTCCCTGCAAAGGAAACATTTGTGTTTGTGAAAACGTGCCCACTCTGCATGCAGGTGACCACCGGTCTGTACTGGTCAGTGCTCACACACTAGGATTTGGGTGTGCAAAGTAGGCACGCGTTTGCAGTGGTACAGATGTTATTTACCTACCTGGAGGATGAACATCAGGCTCAAAATAAGTAAACATTAACCAAAAAAGAAAAAAAAAAAAAAAAAAGCAGCAGCAACATCCAAAAGAGACAACAATTCTATGAAAGCAAACCAAGCATTTTTTTCCCTTTCCTTATTCAGCAAGTACTCAAAACACAGTCCACCAAATTTAGCAGAGATATCTGGATAGCATGAATTGCACAGTGATGGGAAATTACAAAGTTACAAGATACAACTCTTCAGCTGTCAGTAGGGTGCAAACGGCTCAAATCCAGTCCTGTTTATGCAGTTACTAACAATACAGTCTGTGCACTTGCACCATTAGGATTTTCCCAATCCAAATGACGTTAGTGTAGCAGACGTATATTATATATTACACACACGTATTTACCACAGGGTGCTCAATAGTTTTGGAGATCCAGGCATTGTCTTGCAGCATAAGAAAAAGAAAATCAGAAAGAAACACAGGGATTAAAATGAATACTGACTTTCAAATTGTTTTCTATTCTGAAGGTCATAACTGTAGTTGTCATAAGCACATGATCTTAAAATCCCCGAGCACCTTCTTGAATCTAGAGTGAGTAACATCACCTGGAATGCACAGACATTGTGCTAAGCAGCCTTTTGTGAAATCTCTAATGTATGGATAATACAACACAGAAAAAAAACATACTTTTCCAAATCATAACTAGGCAGCCAAACATCTGTAGCATTTATTAGAAGTGAGACAACAGACACACATGGGAACACCACTAGTGATGGGGAACTGTTAAAATATTATCTGCTATTCATTGCCTACTGAAGGCTGGTTTCCAAGTAGTTTTCTGGAGACACCTTCTAAAGCAGAAAGTCAAGGTACCATTCAGTGCAAGTTTAAGCTTTTACAATACTGACATTGAATATATTCTGGCTTATCTGATAATTCTGAATGTGTCCTCACTTGTGCAAATGGCCACGAGAAATGCTGCATTTTATACCTTCTGTTTTCTAAGATTCCATGAAGAGCTGTGGTGTGTTCTCATTTATTGTGACATTATTATAATGAACGAATGCCACAATTAGTCCAGAGTTCTATTCTTGCTTATGCACAGAAAGGTGGCTCAGAATCTGACTATTCACTGCCATAAATTGTTCTGACATAACACCTCAAATTGAATGTTGGCAATGTGACTGTATTCTTTACAATTATCTTTTGCAAACACTAAAAATTATGATCAAGAAAAGCATATTATAACAGGAAGAATAAAAAGGGAACACTGCTTATCCACAAAGGCTGCTTCACAGCACATCATTTATTCTATAAATAATTCACATCTCTCTCAGTTGTTCTGCAACTTACATGTGTTGCTGCTGGCTCAGCCTTTGGCAAGCATTTACACTGTTTTCAGAGACCACAGCAGCAAAATTCACCACGTTAAAGGAAGAAGAAAAGATTTTGAGGAGTAGTGTGGAGGCAAATGGAAAAGTTACAAGTCATGGTGCAATCCAGGGGACTTGAGATTTTTAGATACAGATCCTCTGTGCCTACCTCTTCCTTTTTCAGTGCTGTAATGCTCCTACAAAGGGCTTGGCTGGCTAAAGGATTCCACTTCACTGGTGATAACTGGGGGAAAATCTTCCTGCTCAAACTCTGGACAGATAAGAAGCCAGCACTGTTCACTGGCCACTAAACTGAGGAAAAAAAGGAGCCATATGGATGACAGTAATACTGTCCAGTATTTAATCAATGGAGGCTCTGGCTTAAGTTATTATTAAGCCATGACTCCCTTTCAAAAGTTATTTGCAGCCGTTTTGTATACTGTAGAGTTAACCTTCAAAATAATAAACCAGATGTGTTTTACATAAGTGTTCTTTATATAGGTATCTGCAAACAGAAGACTGAATTACAAAACAAAACAAAAAAGGAAAGGAAAGGATAGAGGGCATGCTTTCCCATGGATGTAATCAACAGCAGGGTTGCACAAACAGACATTTAGGACAAAATCTAGCTCATGGCAACATGGAAACAGGACAAAAAAACGTTCAAGGTAGCAACTTGTTGTCATGTTTAGTAAGTTCTGAAGCTTGATTGTATTCCTATCTTCCTTGGATCAGAAAAGATCCTCTGCATCTTCTAACAGAAGGACAATGCACAGGTAAAGTTCTTTTTAATTGATCTGACTGTGAATTAGACAGAAAAAGAAATGCAGGAGGAAAAGAATGGCTCTGGGTTTGATCTCAGTGAAAGAGAAAATTCAGATTAATTATTTTGTGTGGCTGTGGAAAATCACTATTTAACAATAACATGAGTGAAACCAATCACTGCAATTTTGCACTGAAGTCACACAAACACAATGCAACTGCAGCAAGAACAGCCTTCACATGCACTATTTCTCTTCCTGGGCAAAAGTACCTTTCCATTCCTGCTTATGACTGATTACTTTAGTTATATCATTTAAAAAAAGAAAACACAACTGTTTCTACAAAACAGCTCTGTAAATGCCAAAAGATTGTCAGAATATATATTTTTCAGCTGAAGAAAAAAATCCTTAACCTCAATACAAGATCCATACATAAGATCCTTTATAACTATCAACTTTACTAGATGTAGAACAACATTTATTAGCTTGCAGGCTGGACAAAGATCAAGAGATTAAAATCTGTTTCTCAGAAACATATTTCCATTAATATAATAAATGTCAGTAAGATACAGTAAGTCCAACTGAGGGCTCTTTCCTCCAGAGTTCATATTCCTCTGGTCAAGCATGAACAGTTAATGTGCCACGCTAACGAGGCCAACAAGATTCTATGAATGTCTCCGTGGATGATTTTAATTGAAAATCTCAAAGACACACTCATTTAGGACACAGAGTCAATCTGAATTTTGCTACTGCTATCAGTCAGAGCACACTGAATGACACTCCTCACTCTGCAAATGTAATTGGCCATCTGCCTTAGTTTGAGAGCTAGTCAGACAACCCCTGCAAATCAACTGCTTGTCACAAATAAGCTCAAGGGAGTTGGTGTTACTATAGCTAATCCAGAAGAGCAGGTTGGCAAAGGATTATTTTAGTGTTCATCAGCAGTTATGAAAAAATGACCAATTTGGTCAACTAAAGGGGATGAGAATAGTAGCAAAAAAGACCTAGATTCCTATTAGGAATGGGCTAAACAAAGAAAAGAAAGAATACATTGTATTTTTACTAGGAAGAGCAGAAGTACACAGCACCCAAGCCTGGAACTCCATGACTGACGCCTGGTTAAGCAACAGCTAACCTAGTTATTTCTGTAACAACAGAGACTGCCACAGTATTCTTCCCTCTGTCCTCATAGGAAACAGGTCAAAGAGAGTAAATGCTTTTAGAGAAATAGACTCATTGGTCCAGTTTGGCAAATGTATCTCAATATCTGACTGTTCTAAATTGTAATGTACTTATGCATGGATTTTATATGAAAATCATCCCTGGGGATGTGAAAGACCATGCCCTCTGATCTTGATGGTGAAACAGACATTCCTGTTTCATAAAGGATTCTCAAATTTGGAAGATTCTGAACCAAAGAAAATTATTCTCCTAACATATCCAAAGTAATTTCAGTAGTGTCTCTGAAATGGTTATGAGCAAATGCCAGTGAAATTGAGATTAGCATCAGGTAAAAGGGTGCCTCAAACTGATTCAATGCCTCATATTAATTACATATTTTACAATTCTTATCTGCCAAATTGCTTTCCTTTGCAACTCCCAATAAGTCGTTTTGCTGCTAAGGTCTCAACTCTCCCATCTGCAAAATGGTGTGAAATAAAAACTTGCAGCTCAAATTTTAATACTGTTAGAATCTGAAAGCAATAGCATAGTACTGTCTTGAAGAGTTAGCATGATAGCATAGGCAATTTTAAATCCTTTTCTTGTTAAATACAGAGGATCGCACAGCTTTCTCCGTAGTGAAAGGAGGTTTATTTCCTAAGAATGTTTAGAATCCAAGTCCTTTTTCTAATGAAGTGTCAGATAAAAGGATCTTTTTCTCAAGCACCAAAGAAAACATAATCTATCCAAATTTCATTAAACATTAAATGACTGTGAAATAAACATATCTTATTTTTTGACAAATTGCTATTAGTTCTATCTATTTGGAGAGATGTAATACATATGCCAATTAGCTTCCACATGAGTATGTGAGAGAAATCCCTTCTATCCCTATGCCCAGTATTGTATATTAAGCTCATTAATTTGTGTCCAAGAAAAAATTTTCAGTTTCACTCTTTTCTGAACCCAAAGTTAGCATTAACAGATAATATAACAGCTGATAAACTCAAGATGCCTTAATATCAATTTGCTCAATGGAACATTCTGGTAATTTTGAACTAATTTAGTACAGCAGTACCTGTTCAAGATCAATTCACAGCAGACTATTTCCTACTTATTGTTAATTAAAATCATGGATTTCCTGTTACAAATAGCATATAACTCTGAAGAATTAGCTACAAAACCAGTGTGTTATTGACTCAGCTGGTGGACTACTTCTAGACTTACTGACTTATTCTGAGCTTCACAAGAACAGCTGCAGTAAGCAACAGTGAGGCCAGGTGATGAGAGAAAAGTAGGAGATACTCTGAGATTTATCTTCTCTAAGTTACAGAACTGCAGAATGGCTTAACTGTGATTTTATCTCCAGCCTGAGGAACTGAGAGCACAGTAGGCTGGAACTCTTTCTTGGCACAATAAATCTGGGGACCACCCAGCCTTGCTGCCTGAATTCCAGCCCTTTCCGGCCTTGAAGAGAATAATACTCTAGCTGTGCGCCAAGCAGGATATCTGCAGGTGGCATCTGGGTTTGACCTAATCCACCCACACTTCTGTTGTCAGAATTATACAAACATTTTTTCTCCTGATTGTGCTGGGTAGATATAGGCCAATTATTTCACTTCTGGAACATGGTTGTAGGAGAGTACACAAGAATGGGAACAGTAAAGAAAAATGGGTATGGGGGAGCAGCACCGATTAATGAAGAGTCACCCGAGGCTTTTGGTATGTTGCTTCCAAGCATTCACGTTCCTGAGATTTAAACCTTAATTCAAATGTCAGAATTACCAGGAAACCAGCATCCACCAGGCCAGAAAAGAGGCTCCATCACCATACCACATTCCCAGAGACTAAGAGCTGTGCAGTTCCTGTCTCTTTTCACTAATGGCCATAAACTGAAAGAAGACACAACTACAGGAGGTGTGTGTATTGCTTTTGCTTACTAATGAATCAGTGTCTTTATTCTTCTCCAAATATCTCTGCCTGATTCCCACAGCAAAAAGGTAAAATCTACTTAGGCTCTTATTAAGGAGATCTAATCAATCCAAGCATTCTGTACTGCATTTTCACAGAAGTTTAAGATTGCTATGGCGAGAAGGATGTACAAATGTAAAAAAAACTTTAGAAAGCAGCTCTGCAGATTTCTGAACA